TCTGGTATACATTAGAATACAATGTAACTAAACGGAAGTGCCATACAGGCTTGAGGCTTATTGACCTGGCTACTTGGGTGGCTAAAGCAAGAGATTGCCTGGGATAGCCTTAGAAGCTATATCAAAATAAAAGTAAATAAGAGTTGGAGACAACTCAGTGGTACAGTACTTGCATAGAATGTTCAAGGCCCTACGTTCAACCCACTACTACTACTATTTTTTTGGGGGGGGGGTTGAGACAGGGTTTCTCTGTGGCTTTGGAGGCTGTCCTGGAACTAGCTCTTGTAGACCAGGCTGGTCTTGAACTCACAGAGATCCACCTGCCTCTGCCTCCCAAGTGCTGGGATTAAAGGCATGCACCACTATTGCCTGGCCAATAATAGTAATTTTGTGTTCTGCCCCCGAGACCTAGTCAAACTTTGGAGACATCTCTCCACCCAAGCCCCTTTGCTGGAGAGCTTCTTAGAGGAAGGAGGAAAGCTGGGTCTCCTCTGTTGTAAGCAGGACTAGGGCAGTAGTCACACCAGCCTGTAGGGGGCACCTGCAGTTCATCTGCCACATGCCTGCCCCACAGGGGTTGGGAAGGCACCAAGTGGGCATCTTGCAGCCCACTGTACCACCATCTCAATACCCAGGCAGGGCAGAGCTTGAACCAAGTGGATAAGGATCTAGAATCAGCCCAGTATGGAGTAAGATAAGGGGAGTCTGTACCCTAAAATGACACAGATGTAGACTGGGGCCAGGGAGAGAAGCCTAGAAGACAGTGGGAAAAGGTCAAGCCCCAAGAGGCTGCCCGTGTGAACAGCCAAGTGGGGTTCAGGTCTCAGCTAGTACACACCTCAGGGAGCTGGTCCACAGGGAAAGTGGTAGGAGTGGTAAGAGGGAGCCCCAAAGAAGTACACAAGTCGATCCGGTCACTGAGGAAAAGACATCCTCAGGACGTTCCTGGATGGAAAGGATTGTTGCCTTCTAACATCCTAGAGAGGCTCTAAAGGGTCAAACCTGTGTTACAATTGGCAGTTGTATGGGTGCCCAAGAGGGTCCTCCCAGACAGCTTTGCCTTTTGCCCAGTCAGGCCAACAGAAGTTGGAAGGATTCTATCCGCCCCTCCCCTGCACCGATTAGTCTGCAGGTTGAGTTTCTCATCCTGTTCCCACCCTACAACTTCCTGGCTCCCTCTACAGGCAGGGCCCCTGAGGACTGGCAGCCAAACTGGTACAGCAGATCTTATGAGGCTTCCCAGCCACCGTAGTGCTAGTGCCCTGAGAAAGACTGGGCGATGGCTTCCAGCACCAACGATGGTGAGGCTGAGCCCTGTTGCTATAGCAACTTCCTAGGCACTGTCTGCCCCCTAAGTCAGGGAGGGGCTGTGATGGGGTTTAGGGGAGCAGGAGGAGAGAAGGAGTCTTCGAACTCTTGGGTATCCCTGGAAACCCCTCCCTTCTTAACATCCTTGGACTAGGGGGCCTGAGAATGAAGAGCAGAGGGATGAATGGTCCATTTCAGACCAAAGCAGATGGTCTGTCAGAGTGGGGCTCCAGCTCAGACAGGGGCATGAACTAGTCACACCCAGTTTTGGGATTCAGCCCAGAATGAAGATTGGTCCACCTTAGACCTGGGTATAGTCCAGCTTGGTACCCTGAACCCTGCCTGGAGGCAGATGGGACCCAGTGTTGGGGGGGGGTCCTCCTCAAACTGGGGGTGTGGTGTAGTGTGCTGTCTTGCCAGCTACTATGATCCTCATATTTGAATCCAATGCGGTTTCTGTGTCTTGCTGTGGCACTGACTTTCCTAGAGGTGTCTGGAGTTTTCTCAGTACATTAAATCCAGAGAGTGGAGGCCAGTGGCTCCCTTCCGAATGAGAGAAGGCTGACAGCTGCTGGGCTAGCCTCCTTGTACACTTCCTGTCCAGCAGGGGTCCAAGGGTGCCAGGTGGCCCCAGGAAAGCTGCTGTAGAGCTTTCAGCTTTGGGAGCCTGGAAAGAAGGAAGACGATGATTAACGCCACCTCCCCCTCCCCCACCCAAGTTTAGCCATTCATTTCCGGTTTGGACTTTCATGGCTGAGAACAGAGCCAAGCACAGGGCAAGGTTTGACAGAGGCCAAGGACAATCCCAGGACACTGGTCCCCTCTCGTCCCTGCAGAGGAACAAGACAGAGAACCTGATGTACCCATTTCTCTCAGGGGTGGCAGGATTGATCTGGGGGCTCCATGTTGAAAGGAAACTCAGAGGATAAGGTGGCTTTTGCCACTGTTCCCCACCCTGGCCTTCCTCTCTGGCTATTCTTCCAGCTAATTAACAAGCTCTGGGGCTTCTATAACCTCCGGAGAGCTAGTGCCTGTTGCCTGGGCCTTAACTCTTTCACCTCTGCGCATGGGCAGTATTCTGGGCACATGGACTTCATGCAGACCACTGGGGAAGACATCCTGGGAGACATGGACATCCCTGGAAGGGCAGGCCAGCCAGAGGGACATCCTCTAGAGAGTCTTCCCACCTCCTGCTGCCAAGGAGAGCCTGTGCAGACCTTGGCCAGCCTGGAGCAGGTGCCTTTAAATGCTTCTGTGGCAACCAACTCCTTCCCCAAACCCCAGACCTTACCAAGAGTCATTGGTTACTGCAGCAAACAGGAGATTGCAGATAGAACCCAGGGGGCCACCTGGGATGGATCTGGGGTCTGGAAGTAGTGAGCATGAGGACGATATCACCTTCCAGCTGTGGCTGCAGCTGTTCCTCTGGGCCCACCTGGCTGTCCGTTTCCTGGGTTACCTGCGCTACACTTTCTGGGGACTAAAGCCCCAGTCAGCACCCTGACTCCTGACTGGGAACTGATGGGCCCCAGATTGCCGCATGTTACCTTATCCCCATGCCGCACTCTGCTGGGAGAGGCAGGCAGTAGGTGAGTGTGGGTTTCTGGGGTTAGGCCTTTGTTTTTGCTATGCACCACCACCTCCTTTGTTTTTGTTTTGTTGTTGTTTGTTTTTTGAGAGCTCTGCCTTCTACTCGAGATCCTCCTGTCTTAGCCTCCTAGTTCTGGGATTACAGATGAGCTTATTCTTTTGTGTTGTCATGCTTGGGGTGGAACAAGGCCTTGTGAATCCTGGCAAGTGCTCTGCTGCTAAGCTACAGCTGCAGTCTATACTCCTTTGATACAGGTTCTTGCTATATGCCCTAGGCTGGCTTTGAACTCAGAGTCCTACCTCAGCTCCCAAAGTCTTGATCTTATAATTCTGTGCCATTGCTCCAAGCCTGTTTTCTTGGTACTGTTCTCCCTGTGCCCTGACCTATCTCACTACTAGGGAGTCAGGAGGATTGCTCTGAGCTCAAGGCCATCCTGGGCTACATAGTGAGTTCCATGTCATACTGGGCTACAATATAAGATCTTGTCTCAGAAAATCAAGAGAGGACCTGGGTGTGGTGGTGCATGCCTTTAATCTTAGCACTCAAGAGTCAGGTAGGAACAGAGGTGGATCTCTGTGAGTTTGAAGCTAATCCGGTCTACATAGTGAGTTCCAGGACAGCCATGGCTATGTAGAGAGACAGCCTGTCTCAAAGGGAAAAAAAAAAAAAAAAATCAAGAGAGAGTATTAGCCGTAGTTCTCTAAAGGAACAGAACTGACAGAATGAATATTTATATGTGGGAATTATTAGAGTGTCTTACAGGCTGTGGTTTGGGTAGTTGTCCAGGCCTAAGACTGGATTATCTCAGCAGTCCTAATCTATTGCTGGAGTTCTGGAAGATTTCTGGACAGCTGCTCTTTCTTAGTCTACACTGAAATTCTGAAGAAATAGGTTCTAACGCCAGCACAGGAATGCCTCAGCAATATGACAGATGAACTTGCCAGTGCAAGTGAGGGCAAGCAGGCAAAAAGCAAAATTTCCTTCTTCCATGTCCTTTTCTGTAGCCTATTGCCAGAGGATGTGGCCAGGTGTATGGTGGGTCTTCCCACTTCAGATGATCTAATAAAGAAACCCCTTATACGTGTATCCAGATGCTGGGGTTTTAGAGGACTCCATATATAGTTAAATAGCCAACTAAGGTTAACCATCACAGAGGGAATAGCTGGCATTTCTGTACCATAAACCTTGTGCCAGGCTGCTGTCCAGTACCCTTTGCCTGGGTGGACTTCTCCCACCACTACCACCCTACAAGATCATCATTGCTTTATCCCCGTTGCTCGTGTGGAAAATTGAGACTTAGAAAGATGAGATCAGTTGTCCAAAGACACACAGCCCGTGACTGACCAGACTCTGAACCACTACCCTGAAGTCTTGTCCCCTAGCTGCCTCACGGTGGCTATACCTAACAGTGAACTGTCTCCAGGCCTTGTTTTCCTGGTTATTAATAGGGTAAAACAGATACATATAAGGAAGGTTGTCATTCAGATCACATAAGTGTGTTGATGAAGTGGGTGCCCCAGCCAGACACCAGGGGCAGCTTCTACATTGGTAAATGAGATGCTGGCCTCAGGATGCTGCAGGCACCAGGGTGGAGTGTGCCTGAAGGGAGGTACCCAGTAAAGCAGTTCAGGGGTGAGAGCTCTTCCCTCAGCAAAGGCAGGCACAGAACCAGTGGGGGCTAAGGTGACAGCTGAGCCCCCCCAAGGGTGCCTGCTACACTAGCCCTACAGGCCTCCACCAGGGCCTGGCCTCAACAGACAAGCAGCCAGATCAGAGGCTATAAATACCTCAGCTGGCACAGCCCTGGCCAAGGAATGTCTGTTAGTGCTAGGGAGAGTGGGGTGGGCTGGCCCGTGTGCCTCTTGGTCCTGTGTGCCCCTGAGTCTCCATGAACCCTATTTAGGAATGACCGGAATCTGGGACCCACCTCTGTAATTAAAGGGGTACTCAGGGCCCAGCCCAATCACCCTAAATTGCCTCTAGGATCCCCCAAAGACACTGGGAAAATACTGGACTCTGGCTTGAGACAGCTGTCCCCACTAACCACCAGAGTGCAAAAACTTGATGTGCCTTGAAACATAACTTCCTCTCTCTCCCTCAGTGAAAGAGTTCCTAGCCAAGGCCAAGGAAGAATTCCTGAAAAAATGGGAGAGCCCTTCTCAGGTAAGCACCTCAGACTGAACAGTTCCCAGGGGACACTGCCTAGCTCTGTCCCTGTGTTCCCTTCCCAGCTCTGCCCCATTCCCTTCTGACATGCCCACGGTGACTCCTGCTTCTCATCTCTGGGCCCCCACCCCACTGAACCCTTGCACCTGGCAGCCCCCGCTCCCCATGCAGCTGCCAGCAACTCCTGGGCCCCAGGCCAGGGCCGGATCTGGCCCCTGCCATCCTGCCTGGAAGAATGTCCCCTGGGTCATCTCCACCCACTCCCCAGGGCCCCCTCTGCCGGTGACATAGGGGACTCCACAACCCAGAAATCTGCAGAGGTGCTTCTGACCTCTCCTATCCCTGCCCACAGAATACAGCCCAGTTGGATCACTTTGATAGAATCAAGACACTTGGCACTGGCTCCTTTGGGCGAGTGATGCTCGTGAAGCACAAGGAGACTGGGAACCACTATGCCATGAAGATCTTGGACAAACAGAAGGTAAGATAATCAGCTACCAATCAGGCTTTCCCACTGCTGTCCACCCAGACCCCATGCCAAGCCCACCCCTGCCCACATGGCTTTGCTGCCCATTCATTCACCACTCACCAGCTGCCAAATAATAGAACCAATCAGCTGTGAATCAGCAATGCAGCCCTCCCCTGCACCTTGGGTTAGAAAGGTCCAGTGGCAGCTTTGCCTTGCCAGACGCAAAATACTGTGCTGAGTCCCTGGAAGTGAAGGGATTGTGTGCATCTTTTCATTGTAAGTTCATTTTCATTGTAAGTAAGGCATTGTAAGTTTTCACTGGTGGTTTAATGTCTACTGCTGGGGTGCAGCTTAGAGGCAGAGCACTTGACCAAACTCTCAGGGCCCTTGGGTCCATCCTTACCTCAGCAAAAGATGAAATAAGTGGGAACTGATGTGAGGTTCACAGTGTTGCTGCACACACAGGCCAGAGCTCTGCAAACTTTGCCATCTGTGCTCAGTAGTGTCTTTGAACCTGTCCCCGTGAGTACTAAGCCACATGCAAGTCCCCCTGATCCTTCACAGTCTGTCAGACCCAAGGGTCAGGAGGGTGTGTACCACTTCACAAGGCCACCCCCACAAAAACATACAGCTGGTCAGAGGTGACCAGGGTGTTCTTGGAGAAAGTAAGGTTTATATAGAAGTTTTTTTGGGTTTTTTGTTTTTGTTTTTGTTTTTCAATTTAGGGTTTCTCTGTATAGCACTTTGTAGGCCAGGCTAGCCTTGAACTGACAGAGATTTGCCTGCCTGTCTCCTCAGTGCTGGATTAAAGGCATGTACCACCATTGCCCAGTTTACACAAAAGCTCTTAAAATTTTTTTTAAACTTATTAATTTTAGTGTTGCGGGGGACTTGTTGGCCAACTATATCAAAACAATGAGGTAGACATGGGAATGAAGAGAAGGCTTGGTGAGTTAAAGGCACTTGCCACCAAGCATGGTGACTTTAGTTCAGTCCCCAGAACCCACATGGTAGAAGGAGAAAACCACTTCTACAAGTTGTCTTTTGACCAAGATCAAGTGTCCTCTGACCTCTACAAGTATGTCATGGTACAACTATGCATCTACACACACATACAATAAGTGAGTTTAAAGAAACAAACAAAAAAAACTTAATGAGTGGGAGAGCTGAAGAGATAGCCTAGTGGATAAGTCGTCACCTCTCAGGCAAGCATGAGTTCAGTCCCCAAAGCGCAGCACAGCAGCTTTGTCTGTGTCAGCACCCCTACTGTGAGAGTCCCTGGGAGCTCAGGGCATCCAGCCTGCCATATGCAGCAGTAGAAAGGATCCTACCATTAAACAAGATGGAAGGCAAGGACATACACCTGCGTTTGTCTTCTGACACACCTGGACTCACACAAACACACGCAATATTTTTATTTTTTGAGACCGGGTTTCTCTGTGTAGCCCTGGCTGTCTTTGAACACAGAGATCCACCTGCCTCTGCCACTGGAGTGCTGAGATTAAATTCGTGTGCCACCACCACTTGGCCAAGATTTTCTTAGAAAGAAAAAAAGAGACAGGGCATGATTGAGGAAACTACCCATTGTCAACTTCCATCCTCTACATATGTGAGCATGCATGAATGCTTACACAGACATAGACACACAAAAACATTCATTTTGAAGCTGTGTGCGGTGGAATATCCCAGCACTTAGGAGGGGAGGTGGAGGAGGATGAGGAAGTCAAGGTCATCCTCATAGCAAGTGCATTGCCATCCTGGCTGTATGAGACCTTGCCTCAAAATAACCAAAACCGTTGTTTGGAAATGGGGTCTCGCTATGTAGCACAGGCTGGCTTCAAACTTGAGATCCTCCTGCCTCTGCTTCTAGAGTCCTGAGGTGACAGGTGTGTGCCACCATATGCAGCTTTTCATAAAGACCGTGTGTGCATGAGTGTGTATTTTTGTATCTGTGTATGCAAGTGCAAGGTAGGGATACAATATCTATACTGGGTCTCTTCTTCAGTCACTCCCCACATTTATTATTATTATCGTTATCGTCATCATTAAGTTTTTTTGAGACAGGGTTTCTCTGTGTAGCTTTGGCTGTCCTGGAACTCACACTGTAAGCCAGGCTAGGCTCAAATTGAACATATCTGTCTTCCTCTGCTTCCTGTAAGGGCATGCAACACTACACTTGGCTCTCCACTTTATCTTACTAAAGTTGGAGTGAGGCTGGCTGGCCAACAAGCACCAGGGATCCACCTGTCTTCACCCTACCAGGGTTGTAGGTGCACACCACTACCACCCCTGCCCCGAATTTTCATGAGTGTTGGGGATCTGAACTCAGGTCCTCATGCTTGTGTGGTAGGCGCTTTACCAACCCCTGCACCTGTGCGGGTGCGGGTGTGTGCCTATGGCTGTGTTTGTAGGCACCCATGGCAGCTAGAGGCATTGGATGCCCCAGGAGCTACAGTCACAGGCATTTGGGAGCCAACTGACATGGGTGCTGGGAATCAAACTCCAGTCTTAGTTCATACTTTTTTTAACCACTAAGCCACCTGTCCAGACCCATGAAGATTTCTGACCCTTGTTTGATGCTGACACAGAAACATGAATTTCTTTTATTCAACTTTAGTTCTGTTTGTGTGTGGTCCTGAGAATTAAATCTGGGCCTTTCACAGTCTAGACACTTGCTCTGCCACTAACAGAGGGATTTCTACATTTTCTAGCCCATCAAAAGTATGCAAAGAAACAGGTGAAATAATTCCTCCTTCTCCTCCTCCTGTTGCTAGTGCTAGAACTCAAGACCTCATACCTGTTAAGCAAGTGCTCCACTGCTGGGCTACATATCCAGCCCTGGAATTTATTTTAGCCATGTTTTGCAGTTAATACAGTGTATACATCATAGTCATTTCTATGCTACCAATGTATGTAAAGTTGATTGATGGGTTGGTTTTGAGGTAGAGTCTTATCTATCAAAGGCTACCTTCAAATCCTATGTAGCGGGCAGATCTCTGTGAGTTCGAGGCCAGCCTGGTCTCCAGAGCGAGTGCCAGGACAGGCTCCAAAGCTACACAGAGAAACCCTGTCTCGAAAAACGAAAACAAACAAACAAAAAAGCCAAACAAATCCTATGTAGCCAAGAATAGCCCTGAGCTCCTCCTGACTGTCTTGCCTCCTAAGTGCTAGGATTTATAGACTGCACTACCACGTCAGGCTCAGGTGTTGTTGTTGATGATGCTACTTGTTTTGTTTTTTTGTTACATTTTTATCAGGGGGGAGGGGGGAGAGCCACAACAGCAGTGGAGAGGCCAGAGAACAACTTGCAAGAATTGGTTCTCTCCATCTACCATGTGTGTTCTAGGGATTGAACTCCACCATGTGTGTTCTAGGGATTGAACTCAGTCATCAGACTTTGATCAAATTTGACAGTCTTATTTTTGAGACAAGGTCACGGTGTGTAGCCCAGGCTGCCCTTAAACTTAAAAGTCTTCCTAAATGTTGAGATTATAGGCATATACCACTGTGCCCAGTGAAACATTTTGTGATTTTTCCCCCCATGTTAAATAGCTTTGGAATGTACAAAAAGTAATGTTTTACTTTTGGGGTGTGTGTGTGTGTGTGTGTGTGTGTGTGTTTTGAGACATGATCTCACGTAGACTAGGCTGGCACTACTGTGTAGCCAAAGTTGTTCTTGAACTCCAGATCCTCCTGCCGCAATCTTTCAAGTGTACAGCAAACCCAGATCATCTCACACCTACAAATCCATGAATGGCAAAAAGGAATGTAAAAGCTGAAAACATTGCCATGTCACAGTTGTTCCTAATGTGCTTGTAAGTTGTTAGGATGGGGCTGGCAATATGACTCAGCAGGTAAAGGTACCACCAAACTTGACGGCCCCAATTTGACCTCCAGGATTCACATGTGAAAGGGGGCAGACTCCCTCAGCTTGGTCTCTGACTTCCATATGCATGCCTTGGCATGCACAGGCTACCCCCAACATAAATATAAATAAATGTATAGTTTCAGCCATAGAGAGCTAATGTAGCACATGTAAAATCCTGGGTCCCGTGCTTGGAGCCGCAAGAGATTAAAAAAAATGCTTCCCAGAAAAAGAAAAGCTGGTTTCTAAGCCACCATGCCTTTTGGGGCCTCTCTGGTGTCACTAAGTCTCCTACTCTTGCAGGCAGCCTTCTCTGGTTCCCCCTACTTTCTAGATTTTCCCAGGTGCCTGATCTGGGCATCTGTTAGCTCCTAGCTCCCTCCCCCAAGATTGTTCTGGTCTACAGGACTCTGTTCTAATCGTGTGTCATGCAAAGACCCTCAGCTGTCAGCACTCATCCAGGGCCATGGGTATCTGGGCCTTTCTGAGTAAAGAAATGGTCCCCACTCCCATATTCCTGGTTTTGACCAAGGATAGGAAATGAAGTCCTCCTATGGCTCTTTTCTGCCTCAGGTGGTGAAGCTGAAGCAGATTGAGCACACTCTAAATGAGAAGCGCATCCTGCAGGCTGTCAACTTCCCGTTCCTGGTCAAACTTGAATTCTCCTTCAAGGTAAGGGCCACAGCCAGGGCTTGAGGGGGGGGTGTGGATCCTAGCCATGTCAGACACAGCCTCCTGATCCCCCAGGGTTGGGGTCCCCCACTTACAAGGAAGAAGACCCTTGGAGGAAGAAGGCCAGGAATTGGGGTGGACTGGGGCCCGGGCATCCCCTGTCCAGCTCTTCAGTAACTCCAGGCCCATCCCCCAGCCTGAGTGACCTCCCTCAGAGTCACCACCCTGACAGACTGCCACTAGGCAATCAGGGAACCTCTTCCCACTGTGCCCTGCAGGAGAGGCACTGGCCATACTGAGCCTTGCTCTTCTGATCTGTGAAATGGGACTCAGTACAGCTCTCATGTTGTGAGATCATAAAATAAGAGTTCTTGCAGTTGCATAAGAACCTGTGGGAACACCTCTTGAACAGGCAGTAACCAGAAGTTCCCCAGCAGAAGCTATACATGATATTGTTCTTTTGTTTTTTCTTTTTTTTTTTTTAAGATTTATTTTTATTTATTATGTGTACAGTGTTCTGCCTGCAGGCCAGAAGAGGGCACCAGGCCTCATTATAGATGGTTGTGAGCCACCATGTGGTCGCTGGGAATTGAACTCAGGACCTCTGCTAGAGCAAGCAGTGCTCTTAACCTCTGAGCCATCTCTCCAGCCCCCAGTTTTTGTTGTTGTTTGTTTGTTTGTTTGTTTTTGTTTTTTCAAGACAGGGTTTTCCTATGTAACAGTCCTGGTTGGCCTAGAACTCGGAGATGTGCCTGCCTCTGCCTCCCATGCACTGGGATTAAAGGTGTGTATCACCATGCCCGACATGATTTTTGTTGTTTTGAGACAGGGTCTCACTGTGTAGTCCAGGCTGGCTCAGAACTCACTATCCTCCTGCCTTTGCTCCCTGAGTGCTGGGATCACACGTGAGCGTCATCACTCCCTGCTGTTTTTGTTTTGTTTCTTGTGGTGCTGGGCATAGAACCCAAGGCTCTGTATGTGGTAGCCAAGGATTCTACAATTGAGCGGCATCCCCAGCCCTGTAATAATCATTTGTTCTTTTTGTTGTGAGCCTGGAAGAGCAGAACTACCTCTCCAGCAGCCTGTAATACTTCTTGTTTTGTTTTCAGCAAGACTTATGTTTTCTTCTTGTTCTACAACCCAGGCTGGGCTCAAAGTCCTCACCCACCCTAGCAGCAGAGTCTCCAGCTGTGTGCTATCATGCCCCACACGTTTTTTTGTTTTGGGTCCTGCAAATTCTGTCTCCGTCTTTCGTGTTTGGCAGATAGTGAAGGTGAAGCTTGAGACAGTAGCCACTGCAGGACTATGGCTGGCCTGTGGCCAGGTCCTCACTTTCTCCCCTTGTGGGAAGAGAGATGTAACTGCCTCTTTCTGCTCCCAGAGAAAATGCAGCTCCTGGTGCTTGAAATATGGACCACTGGGAAGATTTCATTGCTTGCCATTGCAGGCCATTGAGGTTTCCAGCTGGGGCCCAGTGCCTGGAGACAGGGCCTTGACTCACTTTGCCTCCCACAGGACAACTCAAACTTGTACATGGTCATGGAGTATGTGCCTGGTGGGGAGATGTTCTCCCACTTGCGGCGGATCGGAAGGTTCAGGTAAGCAAGCCCCATCCCTGCCACCCCAAGGGCTACCATCCAGGGACATAGAGGGTCCAGTCTACTTAGAAATGGAAAGTGATGTCTCTGAGTTCTGGTGGGGTTTTGTTTTTTAGTGTGTGTGTGTGTGTGTGTGTGTGTGTGTGTTTGTGTGTGTGTGTGTGTTGTTTATTGATAGGGTGTTGCTATATAGCCAAAGCTGGTCTTTGGCTCAAGAACCTCTGGTTCTCAGTGCTGGATGTGATAGACTGTAGTCACCACACTCAGCCCCTGTGGGGTTTTGTTCCTGTTATGCTAAGCAATTTGTGGTGTTTCAGATAGCTAAGCACAAAAAGAAAAAAAAAGAGAGCGAGAGAGATCATACTGTGTAGCTCAGGCTAGCCTTCAAATCCTAGGCTGACTCAGTTCTCCTAGGAACCACAGAAAGCCACCACTGCACCTAGCAAAAAAAATTTTTTTAATTAATGGATAATTTTATGTAGTTTAAAATTTTATACAAATATATGTGTTACTTGACAACTAGATATAAATATATTTTGTATACACTAAAATCCAAACGTCTTGTCAAATATGGTGGTGCACACCTCTAGTCCCAGCCCCGAGGGTGCTGAGGCAGGAGGATCAGGAGTTTGAGGCTAGCCTAGGCTGCATAAACAGCCCCTGTCTCAAATATAAGCAAACACCTTCAAAGCAGAATCCAAAAGCGAAGTCTCCCTGCGCATGGTGAGGTCTGCCTGAGTCAGAAAGGCAGAGCCTTCCCTTTTCATTTTTGTGTCTGTCTCAAGGGTGCTGGCCGGACCCTGAGCACAGTTTTTCTGGTACCTTGTGCTTCCTTTTTCTCTAAAGTCCTCCTCCCTTCCATGTGACTGTCTGCTGTCATGTGGCTGCCTGCCCTCCATGCTGGTAACTCAACCAGAGTGGCTTTCCCTTCTCCTTCACTTTTCTTTGGGCAGCTGCTGAGAGTCACAGCTCACCTCCCCTGGCGTTTCTCTAAAAGTTGTCCTTGTTTTGTGAACATTAGTTTTGCTTGACTTAACAAAACAAAACAAAAATGAGACCTGTAGTCTTTGGTAGTTGACCCTGTGAGGTATTTTGGGGGTTATTTTTTTGTTTTGTTTTGTTTGAGACAGGGTCTCATTATGTAACTTTGGCTGGCCTAGAACTTACCATGTAGACCAACCAGGCTGGCCTAGAACTCATAGTTCTCTGAAATGCTAGGATTCAAAGTGTATGCCATCATGTCTGGCAGGGTGGTTTTTGTTTTGATTCTTGTATGTACCCTGGTGACTTTCTTCCAAAACTCTGATTATCAGACAAAATCCCTTTAAACTGCTTTCTTGGATAGGTTGGCTCCTCAGCAAAGCACCTGTCCCTTCTAAGCCTTCCAGCTCAAATTTGTTTTAGCTGAGTTTGGAATAGAATTGTACAGCTTAGAATATGAGGGGAAGGTGTGACTTTCTGTTTTGCTTTGTTTTTGACACAAGGTCTCACTAAGTAGACTGGGCTAGCCTGGAACTCATGGTGGTTGGTCTTAGATATATGCCAGTCCTTCTGCCTCTGCCTCTCAGTGTTATAGTGACAGATATGTGCCACCATGACAGGCCCCCCAGTTTTTGCACTAGAGATTGGGTCTCTGAATGTTACCCTGGCTGTCTTTGGAAACCTGGGGACATAATCCCCGGCCTCAGCCTTCTATATAGCTGGGACCACTGGTGCATGACATCATGGCCAGCCTTGAATCTACATTTTGATTAGCTAGACATGGGGTATCTTACTCTGTGGGCACACAGACACACTTGCTAGACCACATGGGGTTGTGGTCATGTTCACCCACATATCCCCTCCTGGCTTGTCCCCACCAGCGAGCCCCATGCCCGTTTCTACGCGGCGCAGATCGTCCTGACCTTTGAGTATCTGCACTCCCTGGACCTCATCTACCGGGACCTGAAGCCCGAGAACCTTCTCATCGACCAGCAGGGCTATATTCAGGTGCCCGAGGCCGGGGGAGGGCGCTCCTGGGCACATGGACACCTGCGGCCCTTCTTCCTACCTACTACCTATTCTTGTGCCTACAGGTGACAGACTTCGGTTTTGCCAAGCGTGTGAAAGGCCGGACTTGGACCTTGTGTGGGACCCCTGAGTACTTGGCCCCCGAGATTATCCTGAGCAAAGTAGGCACCTCACCAGCCTGCCCCACCCCTGAGGCCTGCTCCACCTCACTAGCCCACCCTGCCCCTGAGGAATCATCTCCTCTTCACCTTCTTGCTTCATCGAATGGCCCCCCATCTTGCTCTAGGGCTACAACAAGGCTGTGGACTGGTGGGCTCTCGGAGTCCTCATCTACGAGATGGCTGCTGGTTACCCACCCTTCTTCGCTGACCAGCCTATCCAGATCTACGAGAAAATCGTCTCTGGGAAGGTGAGGCCAGGGTATGGAGCTCAGTCCTTGAAGGAACCAAAACAGCCTTCCACATTCCCCACCTAAGTGTGCTGTCACCAACCCCTGTCCTAACTCTCAGGAGCCTGAGGCCAGCCTGGGCCACATAGAGAGTTCCAGGATAGCCTGGGCTAAACAGTGAAACTCAGAAAAATCAAAGACGGGTGTATGGCTCAGCTAAAGAGCACTTGCCCTGAATCCACAGCAAGGTGGGTCGGGGTGTGGCTCAGTGGTAGAGCAGTGATCTAACATGTATACCCCAACAGCAGCGCACACAGACACATAGAGAACTGCCCCTCCTGGTTCTGCTCACCCTGGAACACCACTTGTTGACATAATCTGGAAGCTCCTCAAGTTAGGCAAGGTGGTAGCTCTGCCTCTTGTCAGCGAGCATGTGCGCGCGCGCGCGCGCGCGCGCACACACACACACACACACACTCTGTCTCTCTCCCCTCCCTCTCTCCCTCCCTTTCTGTTCTCTCTTTTTCCCCTCTACCTCCAAAACACCAATGCTTTGGGGCATCTGTCTCCCAGCTAACAAGACCAAGAGTTCCCAAGCATGTCAGGAGACCTGAGTCACATCAGAATTCTGGTTACAGAAAGTGCTGCCCTGACACCAGACCAGAGCAAACTTGTTTGGTTCTCAGGTGCTTGTCCAGCCATACCAGCAAACCCCTCCTGCTGTAGTTATGTACCCTTTCTAGATGAGAAGTTTCCTTAGTTACCTGGCATGGTGGCACAGGCCTATAACCTCAGCACTCTTTAGTAGTCCAAGGCAAGAGGATTGCCATGAGTTCCAGACCAGCCTGGGTTATAGAATAAAACCCTATCTTATGACAAAGACAAAATCCAGGAGTGTCCTCCTCAGGAGGACTGTTTATATCCTTACTACCCATTAGCCCCCCGTCACGCTTTAGCCATACCAACAGCGGGTTGGTGCCTAAAAGGCACCCTTTTAGGACAAGTGAGGAAGCTGAGGTGCAGAAAGGGAGTGTGGTGGTTTGAGATTGCACCATGAGAATATAGTGGAAGCCTGGGGGGCAGGGGGTTGGGGGGAGCAGGGGGCCGAGAATCATAGTTCTGTGTTTAGCAACTCCACCTAGCAGGGAACCTGGCTGTTACCCCACCTGCTTCAGCATCTTTGACAGCAGCTACTGGTTGGCTCCAAGTCTCCATATGTGGTTCAAGCAATTGTGGGCATAGTCCATCCCCAAGTCCCAACCCTGTGACAACTATTAGGTGAAATTGAGACAAAATTACTTTGATTCTCAGCCTCATTTTACCCATCTGGAAACTATGGAACCAGACATCTGGCTTTCTGGGAGTTGGAAGAGACCCTCTCTGTGTTGTGAACTCAGGGCCGGGCACATAATTCACCATCACCTATGAGGGAAATATGATCACCTCCTGCCTGTCAGACAGGAGGTGTGGTACCATGTGCATTTTTTTTTTTTTTAATTTTTTGAGACAGGATCTCACTTTGTACCCCTGGCTAGTCTAGAATTTACTATGTAGACTAGGCTGATAGCAAAGTCACAGAAATCCACCTACCTATGCCTCTGCTGGGATTAAATGAGTGAGCCACCACACTCAGCTTTAGTAAGGACTTTTTTTATCTTAGCATTCAGAAGGCTGAGGCAGGAGGATTGTTGTGAAGTTAGAGAAAAAGATTTTGAGACCTGTTAATAGGATGTCACTCAGAAGAAACAAAACAAAAAATTGAAACGTCAAAGATGGTGGCCTACACGGTGGAAGAAAGTGTATGGAAGATTGTGAGAAGAGAGTGAATTCCCCTTTGTCATTGGGCATTTTGTTGTTTTAAAACCAGAGTCCCAGGTTGATCTCTAGCTCCACACATAATCAAGGTCACCCTTGAACTCTGGGTCCGGCCACTGCCTCCCAAGTCCTGGGTTAACAGGCGTGCACTACCACACATGGCAGAGCATAATCCCCTTCTTTGTAGCAATTTACAGTTCTCACAGGCCCTGACTGTGTTATCTTGTCACACAAAACCCTGGGATATCTGCCCCATGTCAGTGAGGCCAGCGCAGGCCTGGAGAGGTTAAGGACCCTGGCCAAGGTCACACAACCAGTGAAAGGCGTAGCAGGGACCACTTGGTTTTCTTTTGTATTTGTTTCTTTTCTTCCTTTTGGTCCATTTTTCTGGTGTAGTCTGCCTTCCCTTTCTTCCTTTCCTCCTTTTCTTCCTTTCTCTTGTTTTTCTTGAAAATTTTTATATCCATTCATTGTGCGTGTGGCACTGTGTCAGTGTGTGTGCCAAGGACAACTTTCAGGAGGCAGCTCTCTCCTCCCACCATGTGGGACTGGGAATCACACTTAGATTATTAGGCTTGGCAACAAGTACCTGTACCTGCTGAGCCGTTTCACCAGCTGTTTTGTGTTTGTTTTGTTTTAACAACAGGGTCTCAATATGCATCCCTGGCACCCAACCTTCCTGCATTAGCCTTCAAAGTATAGGAATAACAGGCTTGTGTCACCACCTCTGACTCCTAGAAGCTAATTCTGTTTGTTTGTTTGTTTTTTATGGTTTTTGTTTTGTTTTTTGTTTGTTTTTTATGGTTTTTGTTTTGTTTCTTGAGACAAGGTTTTTCTGTGTGGTTTTGGAGCCTGTCCTGGAACTCACTCTGTAGACCAGGCTGGTCTCAACCTCACAGAGATCCCCCTGCCTCTGCCTCCTAAGTTCTGGGATTAAAGGCAAGTGTGCCACCACTGCCTGGATATTTGTTTATTATATATACAGTGTTCTCCCTGCATGTACACCTGCACTGCCAGCCAGAAGAGGGCATCAATTCCACTATAGATGGCTGTGAGCCACCATGTGGTTGCTGGGAATTGAACTCAAGACCTCTGGAAAAGCAGCCAGTGCGCCATCTTTCCAGCCCCAGAAGCCAGTTCTTATGGGTATAAATCCAGTGTGTGAGTCAAGGACAACTTGACTGTGTACAGAAATACACAAGAGTCTCTGGAGGTGGATGACTGGAAGAGCTGTACTGGCACTGAAGGAATGCAGAGTAAGGAAATAGCCTTATTTCAGAAACCCTCAGACCCCAGCAGTGCTGCCTGAAGAATCTCAGCTGAGGTCACAAGTCTATAGACCTGAGATAGACTCTCCCTACAGTTCTGTTCTGTTCCCTGTGACCTTGGGGTAGTAGATTCTCAGGCCTTACCCAGAATTCCCAGGCCAGTAAACCTAGAGGGAGCACAGCATAGATTTTTTGTTGTTGTTGTTTGCATAGCTGCTATGGCCCAAAGGCAGAGTACTATGTGTGCTGGGAGCTGTGGCCTAGCTCCAAAACACCATTTCAGGTTATATTTCACTTAATTTTTAAAAATTATGTGTATATTTGTGTGTCTGTATGTAGGTATGTACACATGAATGTAGGTACCCTTGGAAGCCAAAGGCATTGGATCCCCTAAGGCTAGAGTTACAGGTGGTTGTGAGCCACCGTGTGAGCCACCGTGTGGGTACTGGGAATCAAACCCAGGTCCTTTGCAAGAGCAGAGCCATCAATGAGCCATCTTTATCCATCCATCTTGAGACAAGGTCTTATGTGGCCTTGGCTGGTCTAGAACTTGCCATATAGATCAGGCTGGCCGTAAACCTACATCACAGAGATCTGCCTGCCTCTGCCTGAGTGTTGGGATTATAGGTGAGTGCCACCACACTCCAATAAGCCATCTTAACAGGCTCTCCCTGTATGACTATTAGATAAAGCAAGTACCATTTGGCCGGAGTGTAGTGGTACACACCTGAAGTTCTCACACTCAGAGGCTAGGAGACAAGATCACATGTTCGAGGCCAATTTGAAATACATGTTCCGATCCTGTCTTGCATGGTATGGTGGAGCACAAATTTAATCCCAGCACTGGATCTCTGAGTTCCAGGACAGCCTGGTCTATGTAGAGAAATCCTGTGTTTGTGTGGGGGTGGGGGGATCCTGTATCAAAAAAAAAAATGGGAAAGGCAGCATTTTGGATGCCCTAACCCTGTGAGCAGCACCCCACTCTATGCACACCCCTTCCAGGTGCGGTTCCCATCTCACTTCAGCTCTGACTTGAAGGACCTGCTACGGAACCTTCTGCAGGTGGATCTCACCAAGCGCTTTGGGAACCTCAAGAACGGGGTCAATGACATCAAGAACCATAAGTGGTTTGCCACGACTGACTGGATTGCCATCTATCAGAGAAAGGTAGGTTTCATTTTCCCCAGTATGTCCAGAGGTGGGCAAAGGGAAGGAGGCATTAAGCCGAGGGTCAAACAGCAGAAGGCTTCCTAGAGCTGGTAAGGGACTAGACATGGGATGCTGGCGTCTTCTGGCCACTTCAGGCCTTGGGCAGGAAATATTCTCTGGGAAGTGACTTCCATTTAGTGAGTTGGGTTACAAAAAGGACACAGTACCCTGATGTTGAGCACAGGCCTGGGCCATAGCAAGTGTCTCCTGAATCTTAAGCCATTCATCTTTATTGTTGTAATGGTATAAGGTCAGCTAACGAGTTCTGGGTGGTTCTTGATCCTTCTCCAGGTGGAAGCTCCCTTCATACCAAAGTTTAAAGGCCCTGGGGACACGAGTAACTTTGACGACTATGAGGAGGAAGAGATCCGGGTCTCCATCAATGAGAAGTGTGGCAAGGAGTTTACTGAGTTTTAGGGGTGTGCTTGTACCCCATGGGTTTTCTTTCTTTTTTTTCTTTTTTTCCTTTTTTTTTTTTTTCCCGGTTGGGGGTGGGAGGGTTGGATCGAACAGCCAGAGGGCCCTAGAGTTCTGTGCATCTAATTTAACACCCACTCCACCCCCAAGTTAGGGAGAGCAGGAAAGCCAGATATTGGGGAAGGGGCAACATCAGCTGCTCCCCCCTCCCCCACTGAGACACCCTTCTCCCCACTTCTCTGCCTGTTTTCAATGAATTTCTCAGCTTCAGTCACACCCAGACTTATGGTGTATCCAAGGGCAGGGTAAGGAAAGAGAGGCCCAAATTCACCCCAGCCTCCACCCCCACTCCAGCACTGGACACTAAGGATGAACAGAAATGCCAACCACCCCTTCCATGCAGTCCTACTTGGAAAGGGAGATTTTAGTGACAGGTACAGAGGGCTGCTTGCTAGTGGGTTTTTGGTTTCTTTTTTTTTTTCCTTTTCTTTTTTAAATATTCATTTAAATTAAGTTCCACCAGTGCCTCCCTTCCTCCAGACTGTCCCTCCCCTACCAAACCCCCTCTACAAGCCCCCAATCCACTCTGAGGCCGGGATAGCCAACTGACTCTGTCAAGGAAGGAACCGGGCTTTGAACCTCGCCCTGAGCTGCTAGCCTCCCGGCCCCCTTTTCCAGGGGTCTCATGCCAATTCTTTGGCGCATCAGCCCCCTTAAGAAGCCCCTCCCCATCCTGGGCACCTCACTTCTAGCTTAGCTGTCAGCTGTCCATCACCTCTTGCTCTGCTCCCCACTCACTGCACCCCCAAGTCTGATTGTGCTTTTCTCTCAATAGAAAGGTGGGGAGCTGCTGGGGAAATTACCCCATTTATCCCTGTGTTTATCCCTCTCGTAACTTCTCCCAAACAGGAGGAGCTCTCAGGCCTGGGTGGGGGCCCCGGGTGGGCGAGGGGGGCCATTCAACCTGTGTGCTGCGAAGGATGAGACTTCCTCTTGAACAGTGTGCTGTTGTAAACATATTTGAAAACTATTACCAATAAAGTTTTGTTTTAAAATAAAAGTGTCGCTGGTATTCCCGACTTCGATCACACCCTCAAACCCTCAGGGTGTTGGAAAGGGAATTTCGGACCTCAGTGTCCAGATTCTGGAGACCTTGGCTTCGGGATCCTGGAGAAACCGGGTTTAGCTGGAATTCCTGCACTTCCTCCGCCCCGCCAGAGAAAAGAGGGGTGGGGTGAGCAAACTGTCCTTTGACCCTGAGTTCGGGATCCTCAAATCTGCTCATGCCCCTACTTCGTCTAGTCCGGGACCGAAGGGGCACTGGAGGGAGCTGCTCGGACCGATGCGGCCGAACTGCAGCGCGATCGGCAGGGTAGGAGGAGAAAGGGGGAGCCCCGCGCGCCCCCAAGCCCTCGTCTAGGTGCGGCAAGGCCGCTGGTGAGGTCTCCGCGGATCCCCAGGAGCGCGGCGCATCGGGCCGCGTCGCGGCTAGTTCCCGGTAAGTGCGGTCCCGAGAGCGCTGCGCGCGGAGAGGCGTGGAGAGGGGGCTGGGCGCCGAGGACGTCTGGGTCCCGCGCCCAATGGCTGGGGGGCGCCCCCACGCCGGCCCCGCGCCCCCCCCCCCCCCGCGCCCCCCCCCCCCCCGCCCGCGCCCGCCCCCTGCCCCCCCTCCCCTGCCCTGGTCCCCTCCCCCCGTCCCTGTCCCCTTCCCCCGTCCCTATCCCCGTCCCCCGTCCCTGTCCCTGTCCCCGTCCCCCCGTCCCTGTCCCCGCCCCACCAGGCGG